CTGGTCATCAAGAACCTCTACACGGCATAACACTTGAGCACCCAAAGGTGGCAACTCGCGATTATGTCTCAAGCGGAGGCTTCGTCTGTGAGTGAAAGGGCCAGGAAGTCTCGAGCGGGAGCCCCCTCCCGATGGCCGATTGGGCTCGCACAGCATGCTGGTAATCCGAGCAGGTAATCGGCAAAACTCGACCAAGCATAAGGCTTGAGCACCCGAACGGGGCAAATCGTAATGATCTCTAAAACGGGAGCTTCGCTTGTGCGCGAATGGCGAAGAAGATACAGGCGGGAGCCCCTTCCCTATGGGGCCTCCATTTTACGTTGAAGATCCAAGCGGGTACCGGGCCAACTCTACCAAGCACACCATCTGAGCACCCGAAAGGGACAAATCATGGGGATGTCTCGAGCAGGAAATTCGCCGGTTGGTGACATGTCACGTTCGTGATTCAGGCGGATCACTGGCAAACTCTGACAAGCAGCACACTTGAGCACACCAAGTGGGCAAACTGAGATAATGTCTCAAGCGGGGGTCTCATCAGCGAACCAACTCCGAGGAAGTATAAGGCCGGAGCCGCCCCCTTTTATACAGCCCGCACTTCATGTTGGCAATCTATACGGGCCATCGGCGAACTCTACACGGCATAAAGATTGAGCGCACCAACGGGGCAAACCGCGATCATGTATCAAATGGGGGCCTCGTCTGTGGACAAAATGGCCCACACTTCACGTTGGCAATCCATGCGGCCCATCGGCAAAATTCACCAGGCATAACACTTGAGCACCCCAAGGAATTGTTATTAGTTTTGCATTTGGCACTGAATGCGACTGAGGCAGACGTTCTAAGTGGAGTCCTTGTTTTCGCTGGGCACCCCTGCGAAGGACCCCATTCACCGTCTCCTCCTGGCACCATCACCATCAGCATCACCATCACAATCAACATCCTCATCACCCTCAATACTACCATCGCCATACTGATGACCACCTACATCGGATTCAGCCCATCATAACCATCACCATCATAAGAGATACCGTGATCATCCTCATCATCACCACACAACGAAAGACCAGCCATCCGCATCAGCATCCTTATTCTCATCGTCATCACCACCGCCATCGCCATCATCATCCCGATTAACTCACCGAAGGCGGGTGCATTCGGTGAGAGACGAGGGCAATGAAGATGATGAGGATGATGCTGATGATAATGATACGGTCATACGGATGAAATTTTGAGCGGGGGCCTCGTGCTCGAGTGAAACGCGAAATCGTCTCGAGCGGGAAACACGCCCGACAGGGTCCCCACTCCCACGTTCGAATCCGAGCGGTGGTCGGGAAACATGTAGCTGTCGTCACGCTCGGTTTCTCAAGCTTGAACATGGAGGAAGTCTCGAACGTGAGCCTCGTTTGTGAGAGAAGCGCGAAATAGTCTCGCGAAGTGTTGGAAACGCTGGCGAACTGGACCAACACGCACGGTCGTAGTGACGCGCGGCGTCTGGGTGTGCCCGTCGCTTTCCTGCAGTCCGTCGACGAGCGCAGCGCGATCCAAGGCGATCCTGACGCAGACCTGCGCCTCCTGAACATTCCGAAAATACACAAAACGAGGGGCATCCACGGCGTCTTACTGGCACACGCTGGCATGAAGATTCGATTTACGGCCGCGCAGACGGAGCTGAAGAAAAAGTCGAGGCGGGCTCGCGCACGAACAACGGGCCACGATCGTGCCCATCGAATTTCACCACGTGGACGAGCGGGAATACCAGGAGCGCGCGCCGGGCCAGCTCTTTCGCCCCCGTTACTTACCACGGGAAACATGGCTGTAGGTCCACGGATTCAAGGAACCCCCGGTCGATCGGGAGGTCGCCGAGCTGCTGCGACAGGGAGCCGAAGGCGCTGACAACAACGGCGAGGCCGAAGCGCGGGCGAGGAGCTTGCTCATGTTCTGGCCCGGCGAGCGGGAGCTCACGCGGCAAAACTCCATAGTCGCACGCCGTGCGCCGCTCGGGGTTCACGGTGACGAACGCGTCCTACCTGACCTCCACGCTGTCGCAAGGCCAGACGCTCCTGAAGGGCGTCACCGTCGACTGCGCCAGGGAAGGGGACGCTGGTTGCTCGGGCATGTCGGTCGAGCGGCGGTGGCTGCACCCCTACGTCATGTCTTCCCGCGCCACGTACATGCGGAACATACTGATCCTGCGGCCGCCCACGCCAAAGAGCCTGGAGCACGGGCCGCTGGCGCCCCTACGGAAGACGCTCAGGGAATTCGGCAAGAGAGCGTTGAGCTCCAAGGCTGATGCGGAGCAGCTCGCGGCAGAGCTGGGTTTCGCGGCGTTTCCCGCCTGAGCGCGGCCGCGACGAGCTCGAGACCTGCGGGGTTGTCCCTAGCGGCTCGCGGGGATGTCCCTACGGCCTGGCCCGCGGGGTTGTCCCAACGGTTTCGCGATTTGGCCATCGGAGAGCGCGCCCCTTCTGGCCGCGGCGGCGAGGGTGCCGAGGAAAATCCA